TGCAGGTTCAAGGACAACCTGGGCAATTTAGCAAGCCCTGTCTCAAAGAAAAATAAAACAGGTTGGAGTAGCATTTGTGAGGGTCTCAGTACCATTCTGAGTAAGGGGAAAGGAAGGGAGGGAGAGAGGGAGGGAGGTAAGGAGGAAGGTAGAGAGGGAAGAAGGAAGGAAGGAAAGGGAAGGAGGAAGAGAAAGAAATACAACCACCTCACTTGTTCTTCGAGAGTCTTGAAAATGTTGAAGCAAACTTGTTTATTCTGACCAATGGTTTTATGGAAAAGGAACATGTGGTTTTGGTTTTAGTTTGTTCTAGGGACTGAACTCAGGGCTACACCCACAGCCCTTTTTTATTTTTTATTTTATAGACAAGAGTGTCACTAAATTGCTAACCTGCCCTGGCTGAGTTCCTGTTTGGCAGTCCTCCTGCCTCAGCCTCCCAGACTGCTGGACTTACAGGCATGCACCCCCACGCCCGGCTAGAGGCTAGTCATGTTGATCCCAGCTGGACTTCTGAAACCCTTGCCTGGCTGGCTGCTGGTGACACCTACTAAAGGAAGGAAAAGTGAATGTCAAAACAAGTGCATTGCATTTATGCTTTGCATTTATAAATATGCACATTTTACCTGCTTCACTTTACCATATAACTTTACACCTGTGTATTTCCAGATGATCTATTTATGCATTTCAGAGATTACTTTAACTTTGAGAAGACGTATTGAGCTCTAAAATCTGATTTATCCTTCTTATCTGCGGTGCTGGGCTGTCCTGGGCCTCACGCTTGCTGGCTCCGGGCTGTACCGTAGAGCCCGTCCCCAGCCTCCCTCTCTGTTGAGCTGGTGGCAGTGCTGCAGTGACAGACGGTACCATTCTGCCCCCCAGACCAAGTCACTGCCCCGCGGCAGGCCAGGAAGTTCAGCCGGTTCAGTACAAATCTCCCAGGCTGTGTGAACTGGAAAGGAAAAGTCCCAATTCCATTGTCTCTTTGACCGCAGCCCCATTTGGTGCATTTAGTGAAAGGAGAACCTACATTTATGGCCCCAAGTTTAGCTGGTGAGAACCCAGGATCAGGGCTGGGGATGTGGTTCTGAGATAGATATTTTCCTAGCAGGTGCAAGACCCTAGTTTTGACTTTTAGTACGGACTGTAAAAAATAAAAATAAAAATAAAATAAACAAAATCCCCCAGAATATTTGGTTAAATTTGAATTTCAAATAAATAACAAGGGGTGGGGCCGGGGAGATGGCTCAGTGGAATAAGCACTTCCCTGGCAAGCACAAAGGCCTGAGTTCAATCCCTGGTTCTACCAAAAAAACAAAAAACCAAATAAATAACAAATAGCTTTGTTAATATAAGTATAATCCCATGAATATTTTATCTGGCAACCCTACTGTCATGGGATGGGGGTGTGAGGAGGTTCCCCAAAGAGATGGAGACCCCACTGAAGCTTTACAGTAGATTCTTTCTTTCTTGTATTTAATGTTAGGTTTTTATTTATGCATTTATTTATTTATTTTTATTTTGCTGAATTCAGGCCTGCACTTGCCAGGGAAGCGCTTATTCCACTGAGTTATCTCCCTAGCCCCTAAAAGTAGATTCTTGACTTATCTTAGAAAAGCATTTCTGGACATGATGGTGTGAGATAGGTAGATGTGTAAGGAAGAGTTTGAAAGGAAGAGAAAATGTGGAAAGAATTTCAGCTTGAGGAGCTAAAAGGGCACAGCTTTGATGGAGAGAATCAGCCTGACCCTTCCACAAAAGGAAGGGA